CTCATGTGATCTTTCCTTTTACTTTTATCTTTTTCTTTTAAAAAAAGATTAATGTAGTCAAGTGTCACTCTCCTGAGTGCTGAGCTATGCTGGATCAGACCTTGTAGTCCTTTTCCTGCTCCCTGTTTGTGACTGTGGCCAAAGAGAAGGAGAGTAAGGGGAGTTTAGGGGAATTTTGTCATATTTTGTAATCTTTCTGTATTTAGACTCCCTGCACCTTGTGGTCAGCATCACTGAGGGTTCAGAGACACAGGTGTCCCTGCTCAGAGTGATTTGCTGGCAGTGGGGAGGCATCATGAGTCCGAGCTGATGGCCTTTCAAGTCCCTGCCCAGAGGCAGCGGAAACGATAGAGGTGAGTTTCCCTGGAGAAAATCATCCGAAAGGTGTTGGGTACACGATGGTGCTTAGAAGGTAAGGTCTTTCCCAGGGCCAGGAGCAGGGGCAGAGTACCTTGCCTGTCTTGATTTGGGACATTGTGGTGTCTCTTTTTGGGAGTCTGGATTATCATCTTTGTTTTGGTTATAAAATGCAGTTTATTTGGGAGATTTTATTTTCTTTTCCTAAAAGCTGAGGCTGCTCGCCTAGGCTGGAAGGTAGAAAGTCTACTCTGCTGTTCACCACTTGAGCAGTATTGGGCTTTACACTGGACTGATTCCCCAAAAAATGCTGCTGATAGTATGAGTGCATGAAATAAAGTGTGTGGTAGCGATAGTGTAAGGAAGCTCTGCCTGTAAGACCTTAGTCTTGCACTTATTAATATAGATTTTTTGGATCCTGGCCTTCTGCTGAGTAGGAAAGGCTGTGCTAGGCATGCATTGCAATGTGCTTTTAGAGTGAATCAGATAATGATATTACATTTTGGATGACTGGGAAAGCTTCTTTGACTGAAATAAGGGAGGACTAGTATTTTGGTGCAAGGGACCTTATTTCAAGTCTTGCTGCAGAACAGTGGCATAATGAGATAGACATAGGCAACACATTTCTATCTTGCTTGATTAGGTTTTGGACTTTAAGATGAGTTTCCTGCGTGTTCTGGAAGACAATTACTGCATCTAGATTGGAAGTGCGCAAGGTGCTGCCTGCAGACTGCAGGACTTCTACACAAATCTCCAAAAAAATGAGCTGGAGAGATTTCCTTCAAATTTCTGCAAAAACTGTGAAGGACAAGGCTGATCTGTGAGTTTTATTGTTGGTCAATTCTCAGCGTTTTCTTCTTGTCTGTGAAGGATGGGGGGATTTAAGAAGACGTTTTGTTTTCTTTATTGAAAGTGAAGCGTATTTATGTGGGATCCTACGGGCTGCTAACATTCCTCACTTTGATACTAGGTTTTATGCACCTCTCTTTTATTCCATGATGTATGTTTTAGTGGCAACCCCTCCTATGTGTAGTGGAAAAATAAAAATTGCAGGTTTAGATCAGTTTGTGTGTCCATCTTACCGTGTATCTAATCTCTGATAGTGGTATTACCAGATGCTTCAGGTTGAAGAAATCATATCAAGGAAAACTGTGAAATAATCTGCCTATCTGGTACGTTCTGTCTTTTCTATTCTTTCTTTTCAATCCTATGTAATATAAATGCAGAGTTCTCATTATCTCTTTAAAAGTCTGTTCCTTTCTGGAATCCTGCTAAGCTCTGATTCAGTGGTATTTTATGGCATTATGGGATTAAGGAGTAGATTTAAGAAAAATAATACCCACAATTGTTAGGACTATTGAATCATTGGGTAAAGATGACACATTCCTTCTGCTGCAAATCTCTGAACAGCTGTTCTCGTGCAGGCAAGCTTCAAGATATTAAAGTGAAGAGGGAAAAAATGGTGTAAGCGATAAGCAACTTCCACAGCTCGATTTTTCAGATGTTTTGAGGGCTTCCTACCCCTTCCTCCTGCCTGCCTTGTGGGGCCTGCATATGGGTCAGGTAAAGCATGGAAAAACTTCAGTAGTGTGTATCAGGAGCTGGATTTGCTTTTGTCTTTTTGCAGCATGCACCTGGTAAAGGTTTGCATTTACTAGCTGGACCACATGGCCATAGAGCAGTGTTCTGGGTAGAGCTGCACCATCACCTGAAGCCATTGCTAAAGACTAAACAGTTATGTATCACTGACTGGATTTTAATTTTTCCCAGTGGCATGTTTGGGGGTTGAGTCAGTCAGTACATTCAAGTGTCTCAAGTGGCTGAATCACCCGTTTATTTCTGTAGCTGCCTTCCTTGGGAGCCTGGGAGCAATTGGGGTTTTTTAGCACAATCTGGCATTAGCTGGTTTTATTACCAGAGTTCTGTGTAGCAGCGAGTTGAAAGTCTTTCTATGGGATATAGTGGAACAGACAGAGTTTTAGAGAAGACTTTGGATTGTTCTTTGACAGCTTACTTGACTTAAAGGAATTGAATCCATTCTTGATTTTGTTTTTATTTAAAGTGGTTTGTGTGTCCTTTGGGGGCTCTCAGCACGTACATACTGGGTGCTAGAATGTATTCTGGGGTGGTGGGAGCAAGCTGTGGTGGGAGGCAGTGCTCCATTTGGGGTCTCTCCCCATCCCTGGAGAGCCTCTTGCCCTCTGCCATGGGGCTACCTTTGAGTCTCAGCCTCCGCTTGGGTTGTTGGGATATTGCAGGACCAAAGAATTGAATTCATAATCAAACCTGAGTACATCTTTGGGAAGTCATGTATGTGGGTGTGACTTCAGATACATCAGGACTGTCCAGGAGGGTGGGCCTTGGAGACCCGTAATTGCGTCTCCTGCCTATGAGACCACAGGGGCCTTCGCATCTCTGTTGTGCTGGACCCAAGATGTTCTCATCCTGTGCTGGGCGCTGGTTGTATCTGCTCTCAGGGGTTTCCCCTGCAGACTCCAAGACTGGCAATGTTTTGTGCCA